TATATATATATATGTGTGATTGTGTGTCTGTGTATATATACACATATGTTTCGAGTCAGGGGGTCGAACGTCCATTCACTGTCCGTGGGCTCGAGCTCGTGGCTGAGGTGAGGTTCTGTGGTGCGGATTTGTTGTTGCTGATGTCGTCGCTGCCCTTGAATCTGAATGACTGAATGACTGAACAATTTTGATTGTTGGACCCCCTACAGGCGCCCTGGCACTCTCGCCTCGGCGCCGGTTGCATTTACTTTGAAATAAATGCTCACGCTTAGTCGTTTCGGGGCTGCGCCAAAATGGACATGTTAATAACAGCAACGCTCCCGCTCGAGATTTCCTTTTTTTGCTATTCGGGACCAGGGCTCATGCACGACACCGAAAGCCGGCGGTGAAAGCATGATTCCTTATCTGATGACAGCGTTGGTGATATCCATGGCCAGTCCACGATTGGCGTTCCACCGGCTTCCAGGCCTTGGATTCCTTGTCGAAGGTTTTCTTATCCAATGCCCTCACCGTGCTTTGCACGTTTTTGTTCGAGACTCCCAGATGCCCCGAGACTTCCGCAGTCCATGCTGCACCTGAGCCATCAGTGAACCATTCTTGTGGGGCGCCCTACATCCGCACCGGCGCCCTCGCCTCGGCGCCAGGTGCACTTCCTTTGAGGATTTGGCTAGCGCCCAGGCCTCTCGGGGTTGCGCCGAAACGGGCCCCAACAATTACAACAACAATAACCACCACAACAACAGCGCTCCCGCTTGATGCTTCTTGTTTTTTACTTGGGACTTGGGCTCGTGCTCGCTGCCGAAAGTTGGCTTTCCAACAACACCCGCGCTCCTGCTCGATAGCTCCTTGGTTTAATCAGGACCGGCACTCCCGTTTCGGTGCCGCAGACGGCCCCCATGCAAACAACGACGCTCCCGCTCGAATTTTCCCCCGTTGTCATTCAAGACTACCAGAGGCCCTGGGGCTTCCCTAGTCCTTAGGGCCGATCCTCAAGAATGCAGTTTGCATTGTCGGAGATCTGCACTGGTGCCTTCCTGGCGCGCTCCGCGTGCCAGGGGCGGCCGAGAGCCCGCGGCGGCGACCCCGTCGTCCTCGTCGTGGTCGTGGTCGTGGTCGTGGTCGTGGTCGTCGTCCATTTTGGCTCAAGACGGCACCCTGGGATTTCTCGATTCCTTACGCCCTGGTCAGGCTGCCCGCCTGGCTCGAGGCTTGTCTTCTTGAACGGCTACAGCGCACAATTCGCTTGCAAGAGCCTAACATCTACTTTTCCTGATGGAGCGCGAATCCGTCAACTGGCTCGCGATGGCGGTCCGTGGTTTGCAGAGAAGGTCCGACGGCTGAGCGAGCGACTCGACCCCACGGAGCCATCGCCCAAGACTTGTATTTCTATTGATGCGTGTCTGAGAAGGTCTCTGGAGGCGCGGGCTCCCGATGTCAATGCTCAGGCTTTTGTCCCCGCGCAAATGGGCGCGCGTGCTGATCGGGACGAGGCCATAACGGGGGCCCTTCTTTCTCATCTCTGCAGTGGACGGGCGGATGGCGAGGCCGCTGGTCATCGTGAGTTCGGGGTGAAGACGCATGTCGAACGGACGGCCATGGAAAACGCCCTCGCCGCGGGACGAGCTCACGCAGATGGACCTGCTGAACCAGGTCGCCCCGATGCACCTGCTGATCGTGAGCCTCCGGATGGTCGTGAGACTCCAGAAGGATCCCCTGACGGGCCCCTTGATGATCGTAAGCTTCCAGAAGGGGTCCCTGGCGGGCTTCCTGATGGTCGTGAGCTTCCAGATGATCGTGAGGTCCCAGCTGGCTGTGAGCCTCCAGAAGGGCTCCTTGGTGGGCTTCCTGATGGTCGTGAGCTCCCAGAAGGGTCTCCTGGCGGGCCCCTTGATGGTCGTGAGCTTCCAGAAGGGCTCCCTGGCGGGCTCCCTGGTGGTCGTGAGCTTCCAGATGATCGTGAGCTTCCAGATGATTGTGAGCCTCCAGAAAGGCCCCCTGGCGGGCTTGCAAATGGTCGTGAGCTTCCAGAAGGGTATCCTGGCGGGCTTCTTGATGGTCGTGCGCTCTCTGATGATCGTGAACTCCCAGATGGTCGTGAGCTTCCAGGAGGGCTCCTTGGTGGGCTTCCTGATGGTCGTGAGCTCCCAGAAGGGTCTCCTGGCGGGCCCCTTGATGGTCGTGAGCTTCTAGATGATCGTGAGCTCCCAGATGGTCGCGAGGGCCCACGGCGTCATCGGCCGGAGTGGGAGGATATCACGCACATGTTCTATGCCCGCAACTGGGGGGCCGTGGCCGAGGCTATCTCGAGTTACCCCGAGCTGGAGCTTAGGGTGCGCCCACATCTGTAACTCTGTGTCGACCTGGCGAACAACGCGCTGCAGGAGGCGCAGGGGAATTGCGACACCCTGCGGGCCGAGTTTCTGGAGGCCCAGGAGCAGCGTCGGCGCGCCAAGAGGCTCGCGCAGGTCTCATCTATCGAGCACGAACAGCAGATCTTCAGGAGTCGGGTGCACAAAATTTATCAGGAGGCGCACAGGGTCCTGGAACAGTCAATGGAGGCTGTGCGAGGAACCCAGAGGCTGATGGACAGACACCATCCTAGCTGGCGATGTGCAAGGCGCCAGGACTCTCTCGGCGTCGGGAAGGTAGCTCTGCCCTTGTATTCATTTGAATTCACCGTCTTTATTTCTTCCTTAACGCTTTCTGTCTTGTGCGTGGGCTATGTCCCTCACTTGCCGCTTCCATTTGGGGCCTTGCGCCGCTGGAGGATCACCCGAGCCAGGACTTGCATGCAGTTGCACGTTTTCTCTGCACTCGTCGCTCTCTTTCTCCACGCGCCTCATGTTGTATGATCTGTCTTTCTATCTGTGCTTTGCTTTTCACTGTGTGAGATAACCCAGACTGCCCTTCGCTGGCAGGTCAGCTTTGCAGCGTCGGGGCCAGGGGCCGCCTTTGCATGACGTTTACGAAACGAAACGAAACGAAACGTCGTCGTCGTCGCCGGCCGCGTCTTCCTCCTCCTCCTCCTCATGCCTCCTCCTGCTGCTCCTCCTCCTCCTCTTCCGTCTCCTCCCTCAAACAACTTCGGCCCAGGCTTCTTGCCCAGGCCGCTCCAGAACCTCCCCGCGGTGCTTGAGGGATGCTACCGCGGCTGTCGCTTCTGACACCAACGAACACTGGAGCTTAGTTGTGCTACGGGATGGGTGCCGAAGCGCGGCGTTCAAGGCTTACTCCACGAGAACGCAAAGCCCGCCAGGCTTGGGCGCAGTGGTCGGCTGAGCAAGCCATCCACCGCCTGACCCGCGAGGTGGAGCAGCTCCGCAAAATGCAGCATTGTTGACAGTGGCAGCTTCCGGAGGACTTGGCATGGACGTGGGGGCAGGAAGAGCACTGGCTACAACCGCCGCGGCATTGCGAGATGCGCGAGGCGAAGTTGGAGCCCAACTCTACGAGCCAAGCTCCTGATCCAATCAGCGCGCGCGAGAAGGAAGGCGAAGTTAGAGCCCAATGTGATCACCTAAAATTCTGGGATCAGTGCAAGATGGCGGAAGGCGAAGTCGGAGCCCGACGTGGGCATTTGCAATCCTGGGATCAGGGCATGTCGTGGAGGGATGTGGCGAAGTCGCAACCTGACGTCGCCAACGGCCCCCGCGCGGTGTATTCGGAGTCATCCCAGGCCTTTCCTTGCGAGAAGCGGAAGGCGCAGGTGGAACCCGACGCTATTTGCCTAGCCCCCGCTCAAGCCAAAGTGCGCGAGATGGCGGGCAGCGAAGTTAGAGCCCTACGTGATCATTGGCAATGCTGGGATCAGGGCATGTGCGTGGCGAAGTCGCAACCCGACGTCGCCGGTGCCCCTCGCGCGGTGTACTCAGAGTCACCCCAGGCACTTCGTTGCGAGAAGCGCACGGCGGAGCTGGAACCCGACACTGCTAGCCTAGCCCCCGATCCAGCCACTGTGTGCGAGATGATGGAAGGCGAAATTAGAGCCCGACAGGATCGCTTGCAATTCTGCCATCAGGGCACTTCTGGGGCGAAATCGCCGCCCGACGTCGCCAGTGACTTTCGCGCGGTGTTTTCGGAGCCACTCCCGGCGCGTCACTGCGAGAAGCGGACGGCGAAGTTGGAGCCCGACGCCATTAGCCTAACCCCTGGTCCAGCCGACGCGTGCGAGAAGAGGGAATGGCAAGGTAGAGCCCGACGTGATCACTTGCAATTACGGGATCAGGCATTTGCTGGGGCGAAGTCGCCGCCCGACGTCGCCAGGGACTTTCGCGCGATGGTTTCGTAGCCATGCCAGGCGACGGACGGCGAAGTTGGAGCCCGACACTATTAACCTAGCCCCTGATCCAGCTGAAGTCGCAGCCCGACGTCGCCAGCGACTTTCGCATTGTTTTCTCGGAGCCACCCTAAGCACCCCGTTGCGAGACGCGGACGGCGAAGTTGGAGCCCAACCCGACTAGCCTAACCCTTGATCCAGCCAGCGTGCGTGAGAAGAGGGAAGGCGAAGTTGGAACCCAATGCGATCAGCAACGAAGCTGGGATCTGGGCACGGTAGAGTCAGACGAGGAGGTTGTTCTCCGTGACCGAGCTACCTAACAGAACGAATCGAACGTCAATGCGTTATTCGAGCCAGCCGTTTCAAGCCCGAGCCTTTCGCGCGTCGCGTGGCTCACGTTGCGTCGACATCGAAAGCCAGCATTGGGAGATCGGTTTCCTTTCAGCGTGGCGCGGGGCGCGCTCGACGTAGGGAGTGGAAATTGGTGCCCGCGCAGGGCCGCTCGCCGACGGATAGCGGAGCCGAGGTTGGAGATCTTCTCTCCGCACTCGGCGCAGCCATCGCATCGACGTCGACGAGGTGAATCGCCCCTTTCGTTCGAGCGCCTTCTGAGGGTAGGCCGCGCCGCGCCGGGCGGCCCCGACGTTGCCATGAGCGACCGAGTCGCTCCATCCAGATGCTCCAGATGCTCCCCCTTCTCCTCCTCTTCCCTCCTCCGCCCCCTCCTTCTCTTCCTCATCCCCCCTCCCCTCCTCCCCTTCTCCTACTCCTCTCCTCCTCCTCCTCCTCCTCCTCCCCCTCCTCCTCCTCCTCTCCCCCCTGCTCTTTTTCCTCCTCCTCCTCCTCCTCCTCCTCCTCCTCCTCCTCTTGGGCTCGATCAAGTCTGACGCGAGCGCTCCATTTTGGCAGCGCGCTCGGCCAGCCCCGCGCCTCCGCGCGGTGCTTGGGGGGCGGCGGGTCGTCCGCGCACGCTTGCGCGCCAGATCCTGTCGACCAGAGCGAGAGATCGCACTTGCTCTGAGGACCGCGGCGAATCCGTTGAGCACGTGCGCAGGATGCGGCACTCGCGAGTTCGACGTCAAGCTGCAGGCCAACGGGGACAAGTGCCGCACATGTCACCGCCCTGCCGAGCTCTACGGCCCCAAGGGCGACGAAAGCAAATGCAGGGGCAAGGGCGAGGGCGAGGGGGGCCAGCTGCAGCTCGAGGTCAAGCCTGCCAAGGGGAACGGGTGCGAGCATTCCTCGGCGCAGCGTGCGCCGGTCGCCTTGTCGCGAGCTCTCGCCGTGGTTCAGGGCCCGAAGGTGAACAGGTCCTTGGGGGGGCGGCTGAAGCAGACTCGGCAGGCCGCCGCCGCGCAGGCGGGCAAGCCTCTGGCGGCAGAGGATGCCGCGCGGCGAGCGGCGGGCGCGCGGGGAGACGCCGGTGCGAAGTGCACGCAGGCCGCGCAGCAGGTGCTGAGGCCAGCGGGCGCAGAGGCTAGAGATGAACTTGCCGGCTAAGGCCCGCGAGAAGGAGGCCAGAGCAACCCGCGCCCTGGCCCGGGCGGAGATCAACCGTCGAGGCGCGGCGCAGGCGCTCGCGAAGGGGGCGGGCGCAGTCGCGTCAGACACGCGGCCCAAAGGTGGGGGGGCCTCTTGTCAACCTCACCTGGGACGCGGAGTTCTCCCAGCAGCTGGGGGCCCTGCAGTGCAGCGCGGAGAAGAAAGATCCCCTCCGCCAAGTCATGGCCGAGCTGCAGGCCGCGCGGGAGTCAGTTCTCACCGAGGCCGAGGAGGTCGCCGAGTGGAGGGCGCGCGCCGAGGCCTTGAAGAAGAAGAAGAGGGCCACAGAGCGCAGAGGCGCTGTGGCGGAGGCTCTGATGGCGTCGCCGTTCCCGTCGGCGATCCTGTCGGGGCCGAGGCCGGAGCCTCCGCGGGAGGAGCGGGCGCAGCGGGCGCGAAGCCCGATCCGCCCAGCGGGCCCTCGGGGGCAGAGATCGAGCTCGAGATGGTCTAGATCGGGGCCGCCAGCGCAGCAGGTGGATCAGGCACTGAAGCAGCAGTGCCACTGGTTCAGTTACGGGCGCTACGGGAGGGCGGCATTTTCGCGGCGGCGTCTTCCTCTATATCCTCGGAGTCGCCGAATGAAGCGGCCATTTCTAGCGGCGGGTGCCTCTTCGTCTTCTACTACCTCGGAGCCGTCAGGGGCGGCGTCAGCTGTAGCAGTGGCCGGCGACGCGCCTTCTTCAACTACAGGGCTGCAGAGCCCGACCACTGTTCAGATTTGCTTCTCCAACATCACTTGTCTTGGGAAAAGTACTGGTCCTTCCTGAGCGCGAAGGAGGCCATGTCGAAGTATGATCTGGTGGGAGCTGACGAGACTCACGAAGGGTGCCACATTCGGTCGCAGTCGGCAAGGATATCCAGGCAGTTGAAGCGGATCTACCTCAACAGCCTGGCTCGCAGCACGGGCGTGGCATCCGGCCAGTCCGCAGAGCAGGGAGCCGACGAGGGCGGAGAGGCGCTGCGGACGCCCGGCCACCGCCGAGTGCATCGCCTTTTTGCCATGGCGTCCGAAGCGACGTCGCTGCGTGCCGATGGCGCCGACGGCGGTGCATTGCCATACGTACTCTTGTGCCCTGATTCTTCTGCACGCACGCCCCCCTATCGCCTTCGGGGGTGCCAGCGCCCAGCGCTATGCGAGACTCGGGATGTTGTTGTAGATGTTCCATCTCCCGTAGCTCGTCATGCGAGATTTACATCTTGGAGTTGATGAATTTCGACAATCTATGTTTGTCGAGCGCGCGGGAGGCCACGTCGGGCAGTCGAAAGTTGCTTGCGCTTGCTTCGGGAGCGCAGGTAGTTCGCGCGTCGATTTTGTTCCGGCGTCAGAGAGTTGCTTGCCGCGCATCAAGTCTTTAGAAGCTCGCTCCGACGCCCCATGGGGGCCTCATTTGAGGCGTGAGCTCACTTTGCACGGGTCAGGGGAGCAATTCTCCAGCGGCCCCTCGTCGCTGCCCCCGCGCATGCTTCGGGCCCCACGTCCGAGCGCCAGCCTGGCGAAGGGGTCCAAGTCTAGCAAGGCGCGCGCGGCGCAGCAGGCTCGAACCTAACTCGCTAGAGACTGGGTCCGAGCCGACTGCGACGTGTTTTTTTTCCATGATGCGTTAGTTTCCAAGGCGGGTCGTTTGGGCAGCCATGGCCCCGCGGGTCCCGATCCCGGCGAAATTCTTGCTCCTCCCGTC